CTTTTATTGTGTTATATTTTCCACTCACTGTTCTCTATGAGTCCTTTCGCTGTGCTCTTCAGAGTACAGTACTAAAGTCAGATCGAGTGGGAAATAACTTCTCGAATGTTGCAATTAAGTCACCATTGGAATGACTCCATGGTTTTGGATTTGTTCTAAACAATGAGATGTCTAATGAGACTGACAACTAGTAAATCATCTGATGCTTTAACACAACGGCGTAATAAGATGAAATGTGGATGGTGGCTTAGCGTGTAAGTGTAACAGCTCTTGTCGCGTAGAGTGGTGAATTCTCATGGAGTCAGTAATCTTGGCAACAATGTATTGAGCAAATCACGGTGAGGATTCGAAAGAGTTGGGTAGAGAAAGCATATATGCTGGAGGTAAATGATATACGGGTACACTTGACGCATGAACGCATGCTTATTTTCAAATGGAACTCGGTTGTGGAACAGAGAAGAATCGATAATCTCGTCTAGACATGATTGATTAAAAAGTGTAGTGAGGGCTGCTAATTGTCCTAATGCATGCAGATGAGGCGTAATTTTGGAAAATTCAAAGTCGCAAGTAATACGCGGCCTTGAGCATGCACTTCTATTTCTGAGGTAGTAATTATTAATTTCACTCCTACTCAAATATGCAGTTCATTTGTTGCGAGTTCTTAATTATTGTAAATTTTCTTGAGATAAAATCACTCTCTCCATGCTCTTTTCTCACGATTATTCGACTGACAATAAGCCACAATTAAAACTTAAAATTTCCCTCCCATGGGCAAAATATCAACTAGAGTCCATAAACTGGGAGTTGAACAGATTTCTACTCTCTTTTTTTATTAATGAAATGCCTGCTCTTTCTGTTTAGCCCTGTCTCATCTTCACTTTGTTCTGATAAATAATTAGTTGAAATTCTAATCATAAACTGCTGCAAGCACTAATTCATCCATTGTTTGGACGTATTCGATAGGTAAAATTCTCCTCAAGTGACCCTATCATCATCAATCGTTTAGGTCGACCATATAAACCTCTCTTGTCTATTGTTTGTTTTTTGTTATTTGGGTCAACTCCATCAGAAAAATGTAGTTTTGACACGTTAGTAAACATGTTTTTTTTGGCTTTAAATTTTGTGACATAATTTTTTCCTTGTCCTCACCTCCTCTAATTAAATACCGCTTGGGGCGAGGCACATGAAATTTCCATTCACTACTTTGATCTGCCCCAACCCCACCCCCCACCCCACCCCACCCCTCTCCCCTCTTTCGGTATTACCCCTGTATTTTAATACTCTGACATCTAGTTGGATAAATCGCTGCAGTTATTTGCCTATGATTCTTTTTGCGGGCTTTAATTTATGTTCCACTGAGGGAGGGGAGGGGGGGGGGGTTGGGAGGCGGGTAATTTTTTACCGTGTGGGACTCAGAATAACTCAGAGAGGACGGTTATTGCTTACATCATGTCTTAGGATAGGAAGTCAATTTCCACTCCCGTCTTTGGAGTTACTAAGTACTTAGTTATAAACTGAAATCAATACGCTTTATCCTATAATAGTTGTGTGAAATTCGTCATCCACACAATGTGAGGTAATATTGTGGGGCTTCTCTATCTTCCTAATTTGAATCGATGGATTTTGAATATGCGCTCTCTGTACACTAAGCATTTTTTTTAGTAATACCATTTTTGTGCGCTGTGTGCTCATAGGTTTTAATTTGAATTTTGTCGTTACTAATTTATTGGGTAAACTATGTCTATTAATTAAAAATTGTATATTTCCCATTGAAGGGGTGAACCGAAGACCTGGTACGGTGTATCCCCAGAAGACGCCGAACTTTTCGAAAAAGCGATGACGAAATTAGCCGGAGAGTTATTCGACAAGTCTCCCGACCTTCTTCATCACATCACCACCACCATGAACCCCAATCTACTGCAGAAAGAGGGTGTTCCCATTTACCGCACCGACCAACACTGTGGGGAGTTTGTTGTCACCTTTCCTCGTGCCTATCACGCTGGTTTCAACCAGGGATTCAACTTTGCCGAAGCTGTCAATGTTTGCCCTCCCGCTTGGGTAAGTTGCATACTACTAATATATATTACTAAATGGAATGAAGCAGATTACTGAAGTGGAGAAGTTTCCAATAGGTAGCTAGTTTGTAAGCTGTTTTGTAGAAATAGGCGTATATGCGTTGCACTTGGTGTTAGGTGGGTTAAATTTGTTTGAGTTCAAATCGATCTTTTCCGATCGTTTTAATTTTATGGGTATCAGGCAAAGAGCCGTGGAATATGAAGTGCTGTTAATCTAAGTCCAAAATATACTTAAATCTTTCGTCTCATCTATTGCTTTTTAAATTAATAAGAGATGATAGAAAATTCGAGTTGAATAAGAAGACAAATAGCTCTCCAAATATAATATAACAAATTAAAACAAAAACCTGTTAATTTTCTTTCTGGAGGTGTCTACGAGGCGTGGCAAGAGCGTGGACTTATTAAAGTCTGCCTTGTGCACGTGGGAATATATTTAATTGAAAATGTCTTAACCAGAGCGAGATATTTATGGGAGATAGAGAGACAAGTATGGTGGTGGTGGAAGCAAACGACAGTGGTTGCTGTCTTCTCTTGCTCCCGAGAATGTACCTAATGTCCAAGCTTCTCATTGGTTCACACTGTCAACTAATTAGTTTACATAGTAGCAAATATCCTTGTACTTCCAATTCCTCCATAGCACAATGCGTTTGTTTACAGAGGCCAAGAAATGTTGGTCTAGGTCTGTTTGTTTTCTGGAATGTTGTACTAACCAGAAGTCACCTACCACTCCTATGCGCATTTTAGAGGCTCGAAGGGAGACTAGGTACATGTGTTTTTTTGTTGTTGTTGTCGTTTTCGCTTTTATTGAGCCTCATAAATTTGTAAAATTTTACTAGGTTATAAAATTTACATTAAACTACGTATAAATAGGACGTTAACGTCAAAGGTGGAGAAAAATGTGAAGTGAGTACTGTGGAAGTAGTCGAATTTGACCATATACAGTGGGGTGATGGTAGTTTGAAGTGAGAAGTCAACTGCCGGTTAATTGACTTTTTCGCCGTATGTGAGTACACATTGCCCAGGGTGCACCATGTGGAGATAGGTCTATTGCTCGCCGCATTTACTGAAAAGTAGAGTGAAAATTATTGTCGTGGCCAATCAGAACTTAGTCTGTTTAGGAACGAAAGAAAATTGATAATTGGTGGAAATCAATTCTCCGTTAAGTCATGGAGGAGTGAAGCACTCATCAATAAACCATTGTGTCAAAATTAAAGGGTCAAAGCATCTTGAATTAGTTCAGACTAAATTATTTTCATAATGTACTTTCTTTTCTTCAAGTTACCCATTGGTCGCGCTTGTGTAGAACACTACGCCGAAGTTCGTCGTCAATGCGTTTTCTCCAATGACGAGCTTCTCTATCGTCTTGCTGAGGTTATTTCTGGTCGTCGGGAAATGACAGATATTGCAAATTACACGGAGATGGCAGCCCAATGCTACCAGGATCGCGATTCCTCCACACGTACTTGTTTCGGCGTGGAAGATTTGCGTATGATCCACTCTGAATTCTCCACTGTTGTTGGACACGAGGTACGAGTACGCAAGGACCTCCTGACACGTGTCAAACAGGCTGTGAAGTATCCGGTCTACCTTCTTGCAGCTGAGGATGAAGATGAAAATGACGACGACGATAGAATTTGTGCTGTCTGCCAGACAACCCTCTTCTTCTCGGCCATTGTTTGTCCATGCAAAGCACCACCAGATTTGGCCAAAAAGAGAGAAGGGGGCAGTGTGAAGAAACGTGGATGCGTGCCAGGTAGTTGATACCCTTATTTTAAATTTTATTGGGTACCTAAATACGTAATAGTCTTGATTTTAGTGCCTCTTAGGAAATACGTCAGTTCTTAGTTAGATGGGTCAAAGAATCAAATGTAGTTATGAATTTATCCGTGTGACACCCAGGCAGCTGAGTGTTGGGTTTAGGGAAGTCCTAGGTCTACTGAAATCGGAATGAGTTCGTTTTTATGAGCTGATTAGGTTCAAAATGAGACGTTTTGCTGTCGTCGGTTGATTCTTGTTCGATCGGAATTTTACTTGAGATATTAGTTATTCATTGTTCGGACGGTTTACTAGTTTTTTGCCCATATCGAAAATACTAATCGAAAATGAATACTAATTTTCCTTTTCTCCACAATAGCTGCACCAAGTTGTGCCGACGGTAAACCAAATCATGCATTCATGGTGTGTCTGGAACACGCAGACAAGGTATGCGAGAACTGTCCTCTTTCTGAGTGCACTCTCTACTACACACATGAATTTGAGGACCTGGAATCCATGCGTGACGCCATTGCTACGAGAATGAACAACTACGACACTTGGCTGACTACGTTTGTTCCATTCTTCCTTCCTGAAGGCTCAACTACTCTCAATGCTTCTGCGATTGACAAACCAGAAAACGAGGAGAAATCTCGTTCTCGGATTTCAAAGTCACTTCCGGTCGTTGCTAAGATTCCTCTTTCGACTTTTGAGGTGAGGTCATAGCGACTTCGCTATAGTCTGTCCATTCAACTGGTTTATCTACCTATCGATTGAGTCGTTTCCTCACACAAATTGGTTAAGCAAATTTAACTTAGTACCATAGATCGATGTTCCATGGCGAGTTTGAGGTACTGTTGTGTTGATTATAGTGACTCTACTTCTAGCATATTATGATGTGTGTTTCGTCTAAAGATTAATTGTTCACCTTAAAGCTTTTGACTTCTGGAGCCTAATCTGGAGTTTATAGAGTTCGCTGGAGTTTAGTAAGTCTGTGTGTCCTAGGTATGAGTGATAGCCAAGGTTTTTTTGGCTATCTATCTATCTTTTAACATTGGACAAGTCTTTATGTGTGCCATGGCATGCTCAATTGATTATGTTTACTTATAGTAATTATTGTTTGCTCAAACATATTTTACACAGCTTCTCCATTAGCCATGATTATGACATTGCGAAATAATACATTCGTTAAATCAGTGTCATAAAGCACTCAAATCTTTTTAGTAAATACCCTAGATAGACCGCCTACGTTAATTCTCATTGTACAGCAGAGTGTTTTCCTATATATGTGTATCTGTTCAAATATTTGAAATTACAAATCCGATTATCGATTCAAAATTCATTTCATTCAATAGGAGTGGAAGAAAAATTCAGCCCTATCCCCTCTCATATCACCTGATAACCACTAACCCAATTTTCTGCTTTTTTAAACCACCACCGCCGCCACCACCACTAATCCTTCCTTTTTTGCATAATTCTCTTGCTCAATTAATTGCTTTGTGCTTTCCTAACTCTCCTGCACTTTTAATTTGTATGTGTGTGGGGGTCGTACAGACTGATCCGGCCTCCTCGTCTTCCTCTACTCCTCACGATGTTCTCTTCAATCAAGTAATTTCTCTAACTCACTTATCCCTTTTTTCCTCATTTATTTAATCTCTGTCTCAATTATACTCAAATGAAGTGGTCCGGTAGGTGTTTGCTGAGCTCTAACACAGTGTGAACATCTGAACATCTTGGCAGCATTAGTCACGAGTGAAGCTGGTTTATTGAGTGTTAGCATTAAATGTAGTCACCATTTGGTGTTATGTTTAGCAAGTTTAATCATACTCATCTTGCGAATGCTACGTCAGAAATACCACAATCTTGGCTTTGTTTATTTATTTATTTCAAATGGCAGGCGTTTTGATAGTTATCATTAGCCCTTTAGCTGAATTCGGACTTCACAGGGAGGAGGAGGAGGAACATCAAAGGGACAAAAGGTCGAGTTGGGGGGGGGGGCAGAATAATGATTCACAGTTATAAAAGAGACAGACAGACACAAAGGCAGAGAAAAGGTAAGATGAGTACTGTGGAAGGGGGTTGGATATGACATACATTGGGGGTGATGGTAGTTTGAAGTGAGAAGTCAACTGCCAGTTTATAGACTTTTTGCCGTGCGTGTATACGTTGCCCGTGGTGCACCACGTGGAGGTAAGTCTATCGCACATCCCATCTTGGATTTATTGGTTAATGAGAAGGCTGATCAAAGTACCAATTTATTTCCATCCTCTCCGTTTGCCGGGGGAGGGGGGGGGGTACTTTGCGCTTCGTTATCCTATCGATCATTTTGGTAAGAAAAGCTTATTAAGCCTTGTCGGGAGTATCAGCCAATTATTTGTTTAACCCAAAGCTTAATATCT